ACAGGAAGATTCAGTGGCTACTAAAGTGACTCCCTCCTTTACTGCTTTTTGGGGGGAGAACCTAGATACCACTGAGGAGCACGTTGTATGGAACACCTTCAAGGTGGTTATGCGAGGTGAATATGTCTCAGCTATTAAGACTCTTCCGCTTAGGAGGTTTCTACTTGGCCCTGTTGGAGGCCAGACAGAGTCTATGCTTCTATGTTCAGGATTTGGCTCACACCTTGTGTACCAGGAGGGTTGAGTTGCTATTCGAACACCACAATAAAAATGGGAAGCTCCTTGCAATGCTGGTAGCGGGCCATAAGACACAGACTAATATACAGTACCTTGAATTAAAATGTGAGCTGGGGAGCTCTCTTCTAACCTGGAGGTGAATGAAGATTCATAATAATGTCCAATATATGAGCCTGTCCCCTCTTATGATGTAGGATCCTCTGAGGCATTTCTCTCCTCTCTCTCCCCTTCCCTCATTGTAGGAGATGGACAGAGCATATACAGTATGGATGCTGAGGTCCAGATGGCTTTCAGTCGAATGGTATCGAACACACATGGAGGTCCTCATCCCTACACTGCATTTGCTTTGGAACATTGCTTACACTCTTCTACTCTCCCAGACTCTATGTTGGAGGCCCATATGGTTCTCCTTCCGAAAAAAAGGGAAGGGCCGTAAGGAATGTTCCTCATACCACCCAATAGCATAAATAAACATGGGCCTAAAATATCCGACAAAGCTACTAGTAATTCATATATCCTAGATGATCAAATCCTTGAACAATATTTGTTTGGACAGGGTTCATACTCCTCATGTTGACAGATACTGATATCAGTAGACTCTTTTCACACCTTCAGATATCGCATGATAGTGTTGAGAGAGGGCAGTGATCTCTGTTGTTATAGAAAAGGCTTTTGACTCCAAAGATTGGGTCTACATGGTCAGGGTATTTCAGCATATGGGTTTACTTTAGGTTAAAGGTGAATTGGGCTAAGTCATCTATTCCCTTTCTAGACCCAGACACGCAGACCGCAGGGGACCCTGACCTACCATTGAAATGGGGAACTAAGATGATGTAGCTGGAGGTTCGTGTAAAGGCTAATGTCTCAGATTATGAGGCCCTAAACTTAATGCTTTTGCTTACCATGCTGAAACAAAAGATAGATGCTTGGAGGTTTTCTTTACTTCCTGCATCATAACCCAGTATGGATACCCCATTACTTTAAAAGTATTAATTAGTTAGTTTGTTCCTTCATCTGGTCATCATCACAACCTTGAATCGGACTCTGGGCATTGTAGGAACCGCTGGGCCAGGGTAGTCTTGCACTTCCTTATTCCTACAAGTACTTCTTGACAGGAAAATGGACTTTGCCCCGGGTGGTTACTGGGTGATGGCAAGGATTTGGCTGCAGTGCTGGATACTAACTTGATAGGCTCTTGCAAGGGTTTGAAAAATTTTCTCTTAGAGTTCCCCAAGCACCACATCGCGTTACTGCTACTATGAGGTTGACATTTTGGCTAAAAACTGCCCCATTTCATTTAGCTTTCAGACCAGGCTATGTGGGCCAACAAAGGTCTAAAAACCATTGGAGACTTAGAGGTTTATTTACTAAAACTGTAAAGTGCAAAATCTGGTGCAACCAGGGGCGGACTGACAACTCATGGGGCCCCCGGGTAAAAGGGGATCATGGGGCCCCTGCGTCCTTGCCCACATTCAGACCACACCCAAAAAAACCTATGAAAGGTACTAAGGGCATCTCATGGGGCCCCCTACTGACCCTGGGCCCTCGGGCAGTGCCCGAGTTTCCGAATGGTCAGTTCGCCCCTGGGTGCAACTCTGCATAAAAACAAATCATCTTTCAGATTTAATTTCCAAAGCTTAAATTGAACAAGCTGAAGTTAGAATCTGGTGCAGCTGCACATGGTAGCCAATCAGCTTCTAAGTACAACAGTTTTAGTAAATCTACCCCATAGTCTTGGCAGGTAAATTTAGGACTTAGGATGAGCTTAGAACTAAGTATGCCCTTTCCAACTGGTACCTATTTCGGTATCTGCAATTGCAATATCCTTTTAGGTCTTAGTTTGGATCGCTAACGTTAGTGATTCAGCCCGCATCTTCGGAAACATTTTGCTCTGACTTTGTTTAAACCTTTATCTGTAATTTATAAAGAGTTGTCCAAGTCAGATCCCTCTCAGTTAAGCGTTGTAGTACAAAGTGGATTGCTGTTGTCCCAGACCTACAGGGGGATGACTAGGATGAAATGTGGGACTATTCATTTGGATACTTGGTGACAGCTAATGATAGATTCAATATAAGTTACTTCACCGTATATACTTTATACCAGCCACATTTGTGGGTATTTACCAGTCCTTATCCACAGATCTTACACATACAGTATTTTCTGGCACTGTCCATTAATGTAACACTTTTGAATGGAGGTCACTAAATTCATTATGGACATTACGACTCTTGTGGTCCCCCTGTCCATTCCAGTGTGTCTATTGGGCCTGGTGGAGGGTCTAGCCAACACAGTAGCACATAGAGCGCTACTGAGCATACTTTTAGTTTACACCCTTAAGGCGATCTTGTTACATTGTGAAAAATCGGCACCCCCTTCCCTACACAAATTTAAAGGACTGGTAAATGCAGAGCTACCATTTTACAAAGCCATATAGCTGAGTAGAGGTTGCCCATGAAAATGTAAGATCTGAGGAAGCTGGATATCCCATGGAAGCCACAAATGGATAGCCTTATATCACTGCTAGTCACTGTATGTTCACCTGCTCCTTTCCTCACAATTCTCCCTAATCTGAGAGCTGGGGGGTGGTGTCTGCTTGTCTGTTGGTAGCCTCTCAAATCTATCTCTGACACTGTGTTGTCATGTCGTACTGAAGAGCCAACAACTGGTTAGTGCATTGATGTAAGGTTAATCCCATTAGCCATATTGAGTGCTCCCTGCTGCCATTATCCGGCTAATATGGAATGGTGGGGAGGCTGCACGGAGAGAGGTGGGGAGGATGGGATTGTATAAAACTATGCTTGTTTGTATAGAGTTTATTATTGATGGTCCTGTGTGACCACATCTGGAGTCAGTTGTAGCCTTTTTCAGTTGGGTTTACTTATGTATTTTTGTATGTAACTATAAAAGCACAATAACAAGGATTTTCAATTTAAAAAATTCCATTTGGTCGGAAGCAGTAATTTTAGTAATGCTTTAAGTGAAACATTAAAAATGCAAACCTCCATTAAACAACATACCAATACTACATTAGTTATTACTTAAATATTCATATGACACAAGTGGTGGAACATTTTTTGAAAAAGGGTTTCATCGTTCACATGTGACTAGGACATGATCTTTAAATATGCACCAAGGGTTGTACAGCTGGAAAAATGGGAGAAAGTCAAATGCTTCCCATATCCAGAACTAATGGATAAATTCAGCAAGAACAGTGTGGTGGGGGAATAATTGATAGGTGAATATAAGCAGCAGTGGGAGGGCAGTTAAGTAAACCTGTTACTTTGCTCTAAGCAGGCAACCACAGGTTCACTTTAATACATTGTTTTCCATTTAAAAAAAAATCAGGCTGTAATTTAGAAAAGAACAATCAGATCTGCATCATCTTATTATTGTTAGTTTCAGCCAGTGCTTTGGGAGTTACATAAAACAACAGCAGAAAATAACAAGGTCACATATGCGAATTTGAATGTACGTTTTCCATTTGATATTCACTCCACATTGGTAGAAATTCCCCTCTGAAATGTGCTTCTTCTAGCAAGGAAGCAGAACAGTTAAGCAAAATGCTACTGAAAAGGATTTAGTCCTGTCACTCACTTCAGGAAGTTTCCCATAACATCAACTGATGCATTGGAAAAGATGCTGAGAGTGGCACAGCAGGAGGCAGTCTGAATATATAACAAAGAGAAGTTTTAACGATAGAAATAAACGTAAGCATTTAAAGAGTTTTTCAATGTAAGAGTTGAGGATATGAAATGTTAGAATTAGAAGGCTAAGTAGAAACACAGAAATGGCACAGCAAAATAAGAAGAGATATGGTATATACCATCCTCTGCTCCCATTCCCCCTATGGTTCTCTTGCTGAATTTAGCCATAAAAGTCCGGCAGTGCACAAAAATTAAAGAAAGGAGACATAGTGCTGCAACTTACCTCACTGGTCCAGGAATCTTATTAAGGTAAATACCGTGCAGCCGTGCTTAGAGCAGAGCTTCACTCTCTCAATCAACATAGACTATTTCTAATCCTTATGCTGCTAGCATTAGTAAATAGATAGGCATGTATATTATATTTACTTGTTTTATACTTTATTTTACATTCCTTCAGTTATTTCCTGGTTTTCATGCCTAGGCAAATGATGTCATACATCTCAGCAGTCTTCAGGAAGGGAGGGAAGGTTCTCAGCTCAGATAATGACTAAACAAAGGGCAGATGGCCAGGAATTAAATGATACATGAATCATCTGCCCTTACTCAAGATGGCCACTGTTAGAAATGCAAGGGGTGTTTTTCAAAATTATTTCTCAGCAAAATAAAGCATGGAGACGTGAATGGATGTGTGAGTGTGCTTTGAATATTAACAATGAATTACATAGCATTTGTGGTTTGTGGTGCTCAGATGCAATGCAGTTCCACTTTTACTACACGAAAATACAGAGATAAATTAACCACTAGCCTACAGGGCACTTATACCCCCTTCCTGCCCAGGCCAATTTCCAGCTTTCAGCTCTGTCACACTTTGAATGACAATTGCGCGGTCATGCAACATTGTACCCATATGACATTTTTAACATTTTTTTGAGACAGATAGAACATTCTTTTGGTAGTATTTAATCACCTCTGGGATTTTTATTTTTTCTTAAACAAACCAAAAACAACTGAAAATTTTGAAAACAAAAACGTTTTTTCTTAGTTTTTGTTATACAATTTTGTAAATAAGTGATTTTTATCCTTCACTGATGTGTGATAATGAGGCTGCAGTGATGGGCACTGATAGGCTGCACTGATGGACACTGATAGGTGGCACTGATGGGCACTGATGAGGAGGCACTGGTAGGTTGCACTGATGGGCATTGACAGGCATCACTGATGGGCACTGAAAGGCAGCACTGATACATGACACTGATACATGACACTGATATATGGCACTGTTAGGCGGCACTGACTGGCACTGTTAGGTGGCACTGACTGGCACTGTTAGGCGGCACTGACTGGCACTGTTAGGCAACACTGACTGGCACTGATAGGTGGAACTGATTGGCAGCACTGATAGGTGGCACTGATTGGCATTGATAGGTGGCACTGACTGGCACTGATGGGTGACATTGAAAGGCAGCTCAGATGGGCACTGATATGTGGCATTGATGTGCACTGGTATGTACTGATATGAGGCATTGAGGGAAGTGCCATTTCACTGCTTCTTGTACATGTACTACCAAGCCAGCTGTCTCTTGGCGGCTGAGCTACTAATGTAAGTTGGTTTCTATTTGTTATTTGTTTTACCCCTGAATAAAACATTATTACACTATTGGAGGCCTTCTCTGAGGGCTCTTTATTTCCTTGGGAGCCTGTGTTTTGAAGGTACTTTGCTGTGGCTGGGAGCTGTGTGTAACACCCCCCCCCCCCCCCCTGGTGGCTGTAGCTAGCATTCCTGGATCCTGGATGCTTTTCTCTCAGATGGATGACACCTAGTGGCTACTACATAGAAGACACCACTTTGTTCCAGTATCACATACCCTGAGTACCAGGAGCAGGTCTTAATTGCTCCAATGCGCATTTCCTTTGCACTATCTGGTTAGTGCAATGTTTGTCTTTATCACCATGGAAGCCACAAGACCATGATATATTGAGATTATGTGCACGCATCACCACTATTATCTCAGCACTTTAATGCACTTTATTGCTGTCACCTCATAGAGTTTTATTACCAACATATTGGTTTTACATTTATTACGTATTGTTTTTATATATCTTATATCTTTTTTAGATTTTTCTGGTTTTTAACACTTTCCAGTTTATCATGACCAGTATTATTTATTTATTTACTTAGCGCTGCATTTTTTACTTTATATTGTATACTGTGTATGGGTTCTCGAGGTACCTTTTGGTGCTAGCAGCTACTACATGCTCTATACCCAGCGCTCGATTTCTTACCTCTTTTATGTGGCATTGATGTGGCACTGATGGGCACTGGCACGTGGCACTGATGGGCACTGGCACTGATGATTACTGGCAGGTGGCACTTCTGAGGCCACACTGATCATCAGGGCACACTGATCATCAGTGCCCTGATGATCAGTGTACATGTCCCCTCCGTGGAAAGCCGATTACCTGCTCTCCTCTCCTCTCGAGCTGTCAGCGTGACAGCTAGACAGGAGAGAAATGCCCACAACCGGCATTTCCGTGTTTACATGTGATCAGCTGTGATTGGACACAGCTGATCACATGACCGAGCCGACATCTTCGGCTCTTTCCATGATCCGCTGTGTCTAAGGGACACACCGGACCGGCGATTGCAGCGCTGCGCGCTCCCTGAGCCGCGCATGCACAGCGAGAATGGTAGGACGTCATATGACGTCCTATCAGAACGAGAGAACCACCTTGCGCCCGTCATTGTACTATAGGGCGGGCGGAAGGTGGTTAAAGTGAAACTTAAGTCTTGTTTTTTTTTTTTAATAACAAACATGTCATACTTACCTGCTCTATGCAATAGTTTTACACAGAGCACCCCAGATCCTCCTCTTCTTGGGTCCTCTACTGGGGATCCTGACCCCTGCTTCCTGTCAAGTGCCCCCACAGCAAGCAGCTTGCTATGGGGGCACCTGATTGGCACACTGGCTGTGATTGCCAATCTGGAGTGAGAGTACCCAGATAAGCGAGGTTCTCGTGGACATTGCTGGACGAGAATGGGGCTCAGGTAAATGTTGAGGGGCTGGGGGGGGGGCTGCTACACACGGAAGTTTTTTACCTTCATGCATAGAATGCATGAAGGTAAAATAAAGTGTACCTGTAGAACCACTTTAACAAAGCCAACCATCTGTTCTCTTTCCTTGTTTGGAATCTGACAGGATAGGCCACGTTCACATATTTATATTAACACACACACTGGGTCACATGTTGACAATTATTTAGTTAAAGGATAAGTAAACTTTTTAAAAATCATAATAAATACACAGTTTTTGCAGGTAAAAAAATTACTTTTTTTTGCGTCTGTAAAGCATTGCACCAGTAACTATCAGATCGCTGGTGCCATGCAGGTCTCCAGTGGACTTTCAGTTTAATCTGTGTGCTCATACCTTGTATGAGCAGACAGTTTAACACTGACAGGAAAACTAAATGAACTATCACAACGCTCAACAACGCTGTGGTAGTTCATTGAGAACTACAATCCGACATCTGCAAAGGATGTCAATACTTGTAGCTCATTCACTCACAGAATGCTGTGAATGAATGACGGAGCCATGTGGGTGGAGCCATGCACAGATGTGCTGATTTAAAAAAAGTGACTTCTAGTATGGGTAACTTCTCCTCGTATTGCTGTCACAGGAGGAGTGGGGGGGGGGGGATATTGGACAGCTGCTGCAGGCTCATTTTTAAATCATAATAATACCAGAAATCACTCAAATGGCCATGATCAAAAGTTTACATACCCTGGAATGTTTGGCCTTGGTACAGACACACAAGGTTATACACATGGCTTAAAACGCCAATTAGAGGTTAATGTACCACATCTGTGGCTTTTTAAATTGCAGTTAGTGTCAGTGTATAAATACTCAATGAGTTTGTTAGCTCTTACGTGAGAGCACTGACTAGGCTAGATACTGAGCCATGGGGATCAGAAAAGAACTGTTAAAAGTCCTGCATCTCAAGGTAATGGAACTTTATAAAGATGGAAAAGGACATAAAAAGATGTCCAAAGCCTTGAATATGCCAATCAGTACTGTTAAATTACCTATTAAGAAGTGTAAAGTTCTGGGATCTCTTGATACCAAGCCAAGGTCAGGTAAACCAAGAAAGATTGCAGCCATAACTGACAGAAGAATTGTTCGGGATACAAAGGGAAACACATAGGTAACCACAAGAAAAATATACCAATATCAATAACTCCAATATATTGCGTAATAAAGAAATAAATTACTAATACGTAGTGTAGTAATATATTCAAGACTCCAGGTGGATATGGTGCTTCATCAAGCGCAAAATAGAATGTGATAATAAATAGTCTTATAATAAAAAGAAGTGTTCAGAAATAGTGCAGGCTTGACGTGGTCAGGTCAGCGAATTCGTGCTTCACTCTTAAAATGCATAAGTGACTCTCATTAAGAAATCCGTGTGATTTTAATCTGCGCAGCAATGTATAAAATGCGCACTCACCAGATGCACAAAAGTTATGCGCATTAAGGCTATATGACTCTGTAGGGATCCCCTTTAGGTGGATCTGTCAGCCGGCCTGGAACAAGGATCCCTCCTCTGGACACTAGCCTCATCTGCAGCCATGCTTCCTTTGGGGGTCTCTGTGATCTTAGATCAGATCAGAGCCAAATGATAAGAATTGCTTCATGGAGTAGTATTTAAAATGTTCTATTTATTAATAGTAGATGATCATCCAAAGTAAAATATATCAGAAAGCAGAATTTGTAAAAACATTCCAAATAAAACAAACGTTTCCTCTGTAGAGCACATGTGGCTGATCAGCCACTCTCCAAAATGGCCGCCGGACCTTCATGCGGCTCCGGCGGCGTGACGTCACAATGTTATGGCTCCTCCTTGACGCGTTGCGTGCCAAAGCACATTATCAAAAGGGTGTGTGCCTAACGTCGGATGTCCATATCATCTATTTATACTTGCGGTGCACCCGCGCATGCGCATTGCGCGGACACAATTTTATTAGAGGTTTTAGTTCCGATACTTAAATGCGCATGGCATAGTCCGGTCAGGGACAGATTCACAGGACCTATTATCTAATTAATATATTATTTAAATAATTGTACATCTGTTTTGAGCGCTCGCTTTATCTTTACATATTTCTGAATTATTTTACCCTTTTAAGTTGATCTGTTGAATATTTATATATAGATTATTGTTGTGCATCCTTTTTATAGAGTCCATAAATATGGATAAAATGGATATTTTTGAAATAAGATCCATGAGATCCACAATCCCCCAGGATGTTTTCACCCTCACTAATGACAATGATGATGTACATGGATTATTTTTGCACTTTCAAAATATTACCACTTCTGAAATTAGGACATTTTGGCACATTTCCTTTTTGGAGAAATATATTAAGGAGCAAATGGTCCCGAGATCCTTACAATGGGACATCCCCCCAAAGACAGATGATATTAACTGTGAGGCAGAATGGTACCAGTTTTTTAACAATGCAGGCTTAGACCTGCTCAAGTTTCTGGTATTAAGAAAAAAGTAAAAGCTCATGCATTTAGATGCAGAAATTAATAAAGTACGGGAGAAGTTGATCCCATATAAAGGAAAAGATGAATATGTGGCGGAATCTGAAAAGCTTAAACTCCTTAACGAAAACACAGAAAAAGAACAAAAAAATAAAAAGAGGAAAAAATATACTAGGGATTATAAGGATTACCATAGTAATAGTGTGTTTTAAATGGCAGGTATCAAAAGATGATACCCAAAATTTGACTTTACCCACCCTGAGAGGACAAGGTAACCATCAGTTTCATACACCTCATAAGACCTCTGCACTACACAGAAATTATAATTCCCCACACCCCCAGTTGAGAGGCCCCCCTAAACAGCAATCTAGGTATAGATCACCAGAGAGATCACACGCCAATAATAGATATAACGTCCCTGTAAATAATAAGTACGGTCCAATTAGCTGGAAAATCGGTGTGCAGGGTGCAGCTGGGCATGGCATTGTTACGCACGTGACATTGCGGTTTTAGATTGGCAAATCCTTCGGTCACGAGTTGGTGAGAAGGTCAGGGGCCTGATGCCGCGATCGTCACAAGAGTCACTTATGAATTTTAAGAGTAAAGCACGAATTCGCTGACCTGACCACATCAAGCCTGCACTATTTCTGAACACTTCTTTTTATTATAAGACTATTATCACATTCCATTTTGAGCTTTATGAAGCACCATATCCACCTGGAGTCTTGAATATATTACTACACTATGTATTAGTAATTTATTTCTTTATTACGCAATATATTGGAGTTATTAATTAATTTTGCATTTTAAGTGCTGCACTATTTTATTGATTGATTCTCACTAGGTTTAGGGTTCCTAAGTTGGTGCATTTGCAGCAGGTTATAATTAAATTTTTATTTTCTAATTATTATATTGTTTAAATAATTTTACATCTGTTTTGAGTGCTCTCTATATCTTTATATATATCTGCATATTATCAATGCCAAAATTTCACA